TGCACACACACCTGTATCTCCTTCATACCAGGCACGTGCACACACACCTGTATCTCCTTCATACAGGCACGTGCACACACACCTGTATCTCCTTCATACAGGCATGTGTACAACGTAAGAACCCATATATTCTAGATACAAGAATTTTCTAATATTATTTTGCAAATATTTTTCTGCCAACATGTGGCATGTCACTTTGTTTGCTTAAGAATATTTTTCAAGGACAGCAATAAGTAAGACACAAAAGACTACTTCCTAAGTGATTCTGTATTGTATGATTCCATATGAAAATCTAGCAAAGCCAAAACTATGTTGATAGACAGCAAATCAGAGGCCAGGAGTTGGGGAGGGGATTGATTGCAAGGAGGAATGAGTAAACGTTTAAGGTGATAAAAATGTTCTGTAACATGATTGTGGTGAGGGTGGTTGCATGACTGTATAAATTCATCAAAACTCATAAAGCTGTATACTTAAAATAGATCATCTTTGGTAGATGTAAATTACCCCACAAAAAAACTGATTAAAATTATTTCTCACCAGGCACAGTGGCTCATGCCTGTAATCCCAGCACTTTGGGAGGCCAAAGTGGGTGAATCACGAGGTCAGAAGTTCAAGACCAGCCTGGCCAACATGGTGAAACCCGTCTCTATTAAAAATACAAAAATTAGCCAGGTGTGGTGGCAGGCACCTATAATCCCAGCTACTCAGGAGGCTGAGGCAGGTGAACCACTTGAACCCAGGAGGCAGAGGTTGCAGTGAACCGAGACTGCTCCATTGCATTCCAGCCTGGGCAACAGAGTGAGGCTGTCTCAAAAAAAAAAAAATTATTTCACTTCTATATTTACAAATGTCTTCACATAGGATGATACAAAATATTAATTTGGTATTAATTAAACACTAAGAAAAGATGTCCAATAGCCTTTACATAAATCGTTGAGATGACATTTATCATAATAAATTTGTTGGTTTGAAAGCTTAACAACTTGGCTTGGAGTGGAGGGAAAGACTGACAATATAAAATATTTGGCAAGTTTTGAATAGGATAAAACAGGCTGGGCTAGAGTCTTTCAACAAAAAGGACAGTTCAAATTTTCGGAGCTCTGGACGTAACTATTTTCATCATTATACTTTCCTAAAGATCACTGAACTTGGCAAATCTTTCCAGTGAAATAGAAAAGGCCTCCACCATTATCTTAATAAAGACTTCCTCTTTTATAGGATTTTCTTGTTTCATTAATGTGTTAATTACTCCACAAAGTAAAGGTAATCTCTTAGCTCCCAATCTAGGCATTCAATTCTTCATTGTCCCTCGTGTTAGGAAAAAAAGAAAGTAATATTCTTTCAAGGACTGACTGACTTTTAGTGATGAGTTGGGAATTTTACACCCAGCTCACTCACTCAACTCTAGCTCAGATCAATAGGCAAGTCAGACTGTCTGCATGTGTTGACTTTGTGAAAAGCAATATAAAAATCAATCGCTGTTTCCACGCCATTGTCACTCATTCTGTAGACTTACTGTATTCAGAATTTCTTCAGCAAAGATGAATTCAAGTCGTTTAGAATCCATGACCTTCAGATTTGGATGGTAAATAATCTCCCTTCTTCTCCTCTGCAAGGTACACATTCTGTAGACCTGAAATACTATCTTTCATTGACTAGCAAAGCTCCTCTCTGTTCCCTAATCCAGAATGCATTCCACTAATATTCTGCATGTGCCCTTTACGTATTAACCACCTGTAAGGTGACAGGAATACGAAATGTAGTAAATTGCAGATCGTCCCCTCTAGAGGCTCCGGTCTAGGGAAGACCACACAGTTGAAGGTTAAGAACATGGGTCTGAGGCTCATTTACATGAGTTCAAAGTCTAGCTCCATGACTTACTGACCATGGAACCCTGTTTTTTCATCAGCAGACAGATAATAACAGCACTGAAGGTATGTAAAATGTTTAGCATATTTGGTTTCTGGCATAAAATAAGTGTTCATTAAATATAAGCTGTTATTATCAATATCATATAAAGAAATATAATAATCCTCACCCTATTTTATCCTCTCTCGGGTTTAGGTTCCTTAAAAGAAAAAAATGATAAAAAGAATTCACAGCTGTCTTTAAAATCTTGGATACAAGGAGAAGCAGGGGTATCTGATCATCTCTCCCATGAAAGAGAATTTCAGAGCAGAGAGATGAAGTGGGGACTCTGAGAGAGGAAGAAGATAGCTGACCTGGAGTTAGACGTGTGAGGCAAAGGTTAACTGATATCTAAGAACATGGCAAGGTGGCTCCAGGAAGCACAGAACAACTCCATATTGGTGGGTGGAGAGCAAGATTACATTTAAATCCAAGAGTTTTTAAGAGCAGGCAGTCCAAAGGAAATGGTCTCATCCGTGAGTAGAACTGAGTAACAAGGGTGAGGAAGGTTTCTTATGGGGTGCTGGAAAGGGAACCCTTGGACAGGGAGAGTCTGCTCTAGGGGCTCCTCGGTATTTGGAGGAGGGGTCCTAGATAGAGAGTCTACCTAAGGAACCCTTCTGCACATTTTTATGCCTTCATTAAAATAAAACCCTTAGGTCAGAACACTGATAACATCAATGGCATGTTGTATACTTTAAGTTTATAATGGTGTCTGCTGTACTCTTGATTTCTACTCATCAGCCTTTACTCTCTTTGACTTCTTCAGTAAGATGCATGCATAGGTATTTTGCCTTGTTGCAGATATCATACGTGGGGTGGTATCCAAATGTTCAGTGTCCTGCGAATCAATCATTCATGACTTGCTGACTTCTGCTCCCAGTCCTGCCACATGGTCTCACCTTTCTCTTTCTTCTTCATCCTGGCTCCAAGCTTTTCTCACAGAAGTCTTAGCTCCCTTCTCTCCCTCCTTCCTTCCTTCCAAAACCACCTGAATGCAGCTATAAGAATCAGAATGAACTCCTTCTTTCTTTTTTTTTTTCATCTTTGTCAAGATGTCTCTGTGCAAGCTTTTCTCCTTCTGTGACACCCACTTCATCTCCCTTTATATTTTGAACCCTCAGTTCTTTGCTCCTCCTTTAAATAATTCCCAGAGAATTCACAAATAAAAATTTCTGTGGTCATCAAAAACATACATGAAAGTTAATCCCAGTATACTAGAATTTCACATGAGGGGAATTTTGGGTGAAGAAGGGGTCATAGTAATCAGAATATGGCTAAGGACAAAAAAGAGAGGAGAGAGAGAGACACATACACAGCTTTACTGGAGAACAATGGAGGACAGAATCAACTCTGCCTGGAAGGGAATGCAGGCTTCCCAGGAGTCCATCTGAGTAGTTCCCAAGGTAAAATAGTGGAGTGAGGAGTTTCAGGCAGAGCAATGGTGTATACAAAGGTCTCCAGTAGAAAGTAGCTCTGCAGGGCTAAGCAGTGTGTACATGCGGGAGATGAAGTTTTAAAAATGGACAGGAAACCAAACCAAGAAAGACTTTGAAATGTCATTTTAATGAGCTTAGATTTTATTTACTTTTAAAAATGGAGAATTATGAGAGTCTCTTAAAGAGGAGATTAGCATGGTCATGTTTGCATTTTATAAGCATCCCTGCGGAGCCACATCTGAGACCAGATTTTGTAAGGAGGTTAGAGTACATTTAAAGAGATGTGACCTGGAGAGGCTTAAGGCAATGGACAGACAGACGAGGAGACAGCAAGAAAGACACTCAGGAAATAGGATCTCTTAAAGAAATACCTGGGCAGTTAATATTTCATTCGAACTATTAGGAGGAGGAAGTTGGCTGGGCACGGTGGCTCATGCCTGTAATCCCAACACTTTGAGAGGCCAAAGCAGGCAGATCACTTAAGGTAAGGAGTTCAAGACCAGCCTGGCCAACATGGTGAAACCCTCCCACTAAAAATACAAACATTAGCCAGGTGTGGTGGCGTGTGCCTGTAATCCCAGTTACTCGGGAGGCTGAGGCAGGAGAATCACTTGAACCCAGGAGGCGGAGGTTGCAGTAAACCAAGATCATGCCATTGCACTCCAGCCTGGGCAACAGAGGGAAGCTCCGTCTCAACAAAAAAAAAAAAAAAAAAAAAAAGGAACTATTAGAGGGGGAAGTTAATGAGTTAACGCAAAGGTTTCCTGCTTGGAAAACTTGAAGCAAAGAGATGATATTAATTAAGAGAATATCCAGGGGAAGAAGATTTTGGAGGAAAGATAGTGAGTTCAGATTTGGATACACAGAGCTCAAAGGAACATCCACCACTCTTTGCTGCTTCACAGGCCTCACTCTCTGCAAATGGTTTAATCAACTAAGATAGGAGTATGGAAGATGCAGAGATGGCCTAGACTAGAACCTTGCTACTCCAAGTGTGGTCCATGGACGCAGCACAGGCATCACTCAAGAGCTTATCAGAAATGCAAAATCTCAGGTGCTACCACCAACCTGCTGAATTAGAATCTGCATTTTACAAAGATCCCCCTCCCTGACAATTATCCGTGCACTCATTAAAGTGACCTAGGTGCACCAAGACACCTCCACTCATGAAGAGAGTCAAGTGGTTCCTGCCACTGTGTGTTTTTTTATTTCTATATTTTTCTTAGACTGATCCTCCAATTTTTAACTTCTTATTTTAATTTTCGACCTCTTTTTCTTATTTTGTCCTACTTTCTAAGAAAGTCTTTATCTTTTAATTTTCTAGTAATTTGTTTTAAAATGTTCCTATCATTTTAAATTTGAAAACCTCTTTTTTGTTCGTTTCATAGTTGTAACATCATCTAGTAATTTTTAGATTATTGCTTTTTGATGTTTTCTTGTTTCCTCTATGGGCTATTTTCTCTAAGTTCTTTTTCTCCCATTTGTTTGCTTGTTTAGGGCTTTCTGTTTCATACTAGAGGCTTTCCTCAAATACCTATAGATCCTTAAATGTTCCTTTACATTTAAAAATAAATCATCATGGGCTGGTGGGGTGGCTCACACCTGTAATCCCAGCACTTTGGGAGGCCGAGGAGGGCGGATCACAAGGTCAAGAAGAGATTGAGAACATCCTGGCCAACACAGTGAAACCCTGTCTCAACTAAAAATACAAAAATTAGCCAGGTGTGGTGGCACATGCCTGTAGTCCCGGGTATTTGGGAGGCTGAGGCAGGAGAATCACTTGAACCCAGGAGGCAGAGGTTGCAGTGAGCCAAGATCATGCCACTGCACTCCAGCCTGGGCAACAGAGTGAGACTCCATCTCAAAAAATAAAGACATTACAGAGCACATGATAGAGTCTGTGTGTGTCTGCATGCACGTGGTGGTGTTTATAACTGGTAGGCTTTGTCATAGAGTGACCAAATGGCAAACTGGCAATTTCATTGGGGAACCCTGGATGCCCATCATTGAAGGCATTTTCCCCTGAGGACATTCACTTAGTCCAGAAAAAAATTCTCCAGTTTTCTACCTGGACTAGGAAAGGTGGCTAAAGGTTTTATACTAAGTGTACAGACTTTACGCACCCCCTTATTTTCTATTTTTTTCCTCCAAATTCTTGAGGAGCATCTCATTGCCACATTAGAATATTTCACTGCTATTCTTATACCAAGATTCACTTTTTATTCCTACCAGCTTTATCCAAATTCCATTGTTTTAGAGCCTTAATAAGCATTTAGTGCAGATACACTTGTCCTTGACCATGGGGGAAATTCAAAAGAAGTAAGTTTATTGACTTTCTCTGACTTACAAATCTGGAGAGCTGGAGTTAGACAACGTTACAAAGGTAAGTGTGACAAGATGGGACGGAAAACACAGTAACATGCTGTTAAGTACACAGCAGGTACCAAACTAGGAAAGATGTCCAAGGCTCAGTATGGGCACACTATAGAAAGTGGTTCCACTGGCCGGGCACAGTGGCCATGCCTATAATCCCAGCACTTTGGGAGGCCGAGCTGGGCGGATCATTTGAGGTCAGGGCTTTGAGACCAGCCTGATCAACAGGGTGAAACCCTGTCTCCACTAAAAATACAAAAAAGGCGTGGTGGTACATGCCTGAAGTCCCAGCTACTCAGGAGGTGAGGCTGAGGCAGGAGAATCCCTTGAACCCAGGAGGTGGAGGTTGCAGTGGTGCCAAGATGGCACCACTGCACTCCAGCCTGGGCGACACAGCAAGACTCTAGAGCAAGACTCTGTCTTGGAAAAAAAGAAAAAAAAATGATGGTTCCACTTATCCAGCAGGTGACTTTGGAGGAAAGTGGCTGGGTAAAGGAAGGGACATTGATAGAAGGTCTTAAGTGGCAAGTTAGAGAATGTTGATTTAATCTTTTTAATAGGGGGCTATTCTTTTATCTTGAGTGAAATAATCTTTATGTGGTATTTCTGCTAGGCCAGCAGGATTTATCTGGAGGGCTGGATCAATGTGGAAGTCATAAAAATGAGGAGAGGGGTGAGACACAGAGAAGCGTTGAGGATGGACAAGTTGGCGAGATTCTCATGCCCCTAATGCTAGCTCCATTACATTTTATAGCTTCAGTCTGGCTTTAGGGCTTTTTTTAGTCCCTTTTCATTTTCATATCAGTTTAAAACAGAACACTGTAGAATTAATCTGGCTTTTACTAATTAATGAAAACATTTGTGAATATAATGATCTTTTAATGTTTATGACACTTAACTCATTCTCTTTTTCAGGGACACAGAATTGCTTAAATTTACATCGTCAGTTTTGTGATTTTCTGCAAAATTTTGGGGCAATACAACATTGCTCCGATTCATTCATTCTCCATAAATAATTACATAAAATAATTATGGAAACTGATGTATATTTAAAACTATTCTTTTGCTCATTTCATGGGAAGTGCATTAGCACCTAGGAAATTACCAAGTCCACTATTGTGATGAACTGATCTTTTTGAAAGCAGCGTGGTCTTGGCTCAGGGAACAGAAAGCAGACATTTGTTCTCCATGCTCATTACTACAATGATTACAATTATCTTTGAGTAGAATGAAAAAGAATTATGACCTGATCATTACCATTTAAAATTATTGAGGTTTGGCAGAGTTTTCGCTGAGAAAGCAGATTGTTGAGAGTTTGGAGAACTTTTCCACATTTTTCAAGTTTTGTGTTTTTTTTTAGGTCATATAATCCCTTCATAAATAATGAGAATAAAATAACAAAATTCAAATCCAGAGGGATAAATGCAATAGGGAAATAGGGCTTTGGATAAGGAGCACGGGGGTGTTCATGGCACATTATACACATATGTGCACATATACAACTTCCTAATTGTAACTCAAGCAAATGTTACAGAAAACATAAAATAGGCACTGAAGGGTCTCCCATCATTGTGAGATGGGGAGTGGTTAAGGATCAGCACATAGCAGAGGAGATACTAATTGCTAGGATTAAAGGATCCAAACACTAGTAAAAAATTAACAGAGCTTTCTCTACCTCCAACAGCTCCTGGAATGGGGACTTCAGCAATCCCACTGGATTAGTCCAAGCTTGATTTCCAAGAAGGTGTGAAGCAGGGAAGCGGAGTTTGCCAAAGGTGAACCCTCCTGGCATCCTGTTCCAAATCAACCTAAAAAGGACAAAATGCATTTTCTACTTGGCGACTCCTAAAATTCACTAAGCAAGGCAATGAAGTGAAATATTTAGACACCATTCGCATGACCATCAAAGGAAAATGTCTGACTGTACTTAGACTTCAGCACAAATAACTGAAGAAATACAGGTGGTAAATAACTGCAAGCAACTTACATTGGATCTGATCTTAGGAAAAGCGGAAAGTGCATCTTTGTGACAATATTTTGTGTTCCATTAGGGGAGGAGAGCAAGTGAGGTGAGGGTGTCACCACTGGGGTGGGGAGAAAAAAGTTCATTCTCTTCTGGGAAGGAAAAGAAAAACAAAGTTTGGGGATACTTGGCACTCTTCAGACTCTGCCTCTTGTACCTTTAATTGGGAAGATAGATGTAGAAGCAGCGCACACAAGCATCTCTATCTTGTGAGAGGAAGCTTTGCATTACGGATGTGATTTATGGTGGGAGGAGTGATTTAACAAGGCTAATGGCTTACAAAGAGGCATCATTCCCAGGGGATTTGTTAATTGAAGTGCCACATAGATCTGTGGGAAGATTTAAGGTGTCATCAATGGCAGAAAGAATGAGGTGACCTCACTCTGTCTTTTTCAGTGCCATTATTCTAAGATCTAGAAAAAAACACCTTTGTCCCTTTGTATGTTTTCTTTATAGTGACTTGGACTATATTTGTTACAGAAGTACTGCTAAATCAAGCTTTGTCAACAATTCCTAGACTACGTTTAGAAGAGACATCAACGATACGGTAGGAGTCATACACAATTCTGGCATTAGTTTTCCAGCAACATCTAACATGCTTCTCTTCTTTTTGGCTGACAGAATTATTCAAACAATCCCCCAAGCCATAAAAGAATCTACGATTCTATTATCATACTCAGCATACTCATATCTAAATCGGTTAATTGGACAATTATTTATTAGGTACCCACTATCTGTCAGCATCTGAGAAAGGTACTGGGAATACACAAATACTCTGCCCTGGAGGAAAAAGGTCAGCAGGGGAGGAGATTGTATTACATAGCATCAAAATGCAAATGAGGTAGCAACTTATAAGCTTACAATGACCAGACTCTACAGTCAAGACTTGAAATTCCATTGTGGAAGACAGTGTAGCGGTTCCTCAAGGACCTAGAAATAGAAATTCCATATGACCCAGCAATCCCATTACTGGGTATATATCCAAAGGATTATAAATTGTTCTACTATAAGGACGCATGCACACGAATGTTCATTGCAGCACTGTTTACAATAGCAAAGACCTGGAACCAACCCAAATGCCCATCGATGATAGACCGGACAGGGAAAATGTGGCACATATACACCATGGAATATTACGCAGCCATCAAAAAGGATGAGTTCATGTCCTTTGTAGGAACGTGGATGAACCTGGAAGCCATCATTCTCGGCAAACTGACACAGGAGCAGAAAATCAAACACCACATGTTCTCACTCATAGGCAGGTGTTGAACAATGAGAACACATGGACACAGGGAGGGGAGCACTACACACTGGGGTCTGTTTGGGGGAAATAGGGGAGGGACAGCAGGGGCTGGGGAGTTGGGGGGGATGGCATGAGGAGAAATGCCAGATATAGGTGAAGGGGAGGAAGACAGCAAATCACACTGCCAGGTGTATACCTATGCAACAATCTTGCATGTTCTTCACATGTACCCCAAAACCTAAAATGCAATTAAAAAAAAAGACTTGAAATTGAGTGTTTTGAAAAAAAAAATTTTAATTATAAAACTATTATCACATTGATGAAAAGAAAAACAACAAAAAGATTACATTCAATTTAAAAAATTAAAATGTTATTACTCTATCGTAACTGCTATCATTATTTTATTTCAATCTATTTTCAGATGAACAATTTGTTACAGTCATGAGAGATACATGTTAGATCTCTGATTATTTCACATAAGCCTAATTCCATGTCACTACCTGCACTCCCTAATAACTGTCATGTGTATCTATACATATATAGGTATGAGAGAGATCTCTTGAAGGACAGTTTGGCTAGATACAGAATTCATAGTGGACGATGCCACCTCCTTCTGGTCCTCATGGTTTCTGATGAGACATCTACTGTGTCTCTCGCCCCACAGCAATGTGTCATTTTTCTCCAGCTGCTTTTCAGGTTTTGCCAAATTTGGGATGTTTCCAGTCATTATTTGAACACTCTTTCAGGTACATTTTTTCCCCTCTACTTCTGGCATCCCAAACATATAACTGTTGGTTCTTTTGTTATTGTCCCACATGTCCTCAAGGCTCTTAATTTTTTTTGGCAGCCTATTTTCGCCCTGTCATTCAGATTAGGTAAATTCTACTGATCTGTCCTCAGGTTCACTGATTTCTATCTTCTGTTCCTCTCTACCGCTGATCTCAAATTTAGCAAAAAATATAAATGTACAGATTCTAGAAGCTAAATGAACACCAAACAGGATATTACATTCACTTTGAAATATCTGCCATGTTGAAAGAAATTCATGCCAAGACACATAATTAACTTTCTGAATATAAAAAGTTAATGTAACAGACAAAATGTCCAGGATCTAATCAAATTATCTGTCACCACTGAATGTTTTCTATTTTGCTATTGTATTTTTCAGTTGAATAACTGCCATTTATTTCTATTTTTAAAACTGGCATAGAGTGCACTTATCATGATGGTTCTTTTATTAACTTCTCTTTCTTTGCTGAGATTTTCTATTTCTTTTTTGCAAGACAATTTGTAAGTACTCACTGAAGCAGTTTTACAAGAGTTGCTTAAAATCCTCATCAGGTAATTCCAACATCTGGTTTGTCTCAGTGCCGTCATCTGTTTTTGACTGTCATTTCTTATTCAAGTTGGGATTTTTCTGGTTCTTGGTATGACAGGCTATTTTACATTGTATCCTGAATAGTCTATTATTTTAATCTTTTATTTTAGCAGGCAGTCACTCCATTTATGTTTAGCATGCAAGCCCTGGCTTAGCTTTTTGTGGGCTGTGACTCCAACAGTCATTTAGTTTTTAGAGCCTTTGCAGTATTATTTTGGTCTGCTTGGTTTATCTGGTGCTGCTGGGGCTCCCGAATGGTCCTTGATGATGCTACTTTAGGAAAAGAAGGATTCTCCCCCAAGTCAGATCCCATGGCACCTCTGGGAGAAGGGAGTCTCCAGGTCAGATAATGGGTCAGATGCTTTTTACCAGAGTCCCCTGGATCTTCATCTCTCAGCAAACAAGTCTCAGGTCTGGATGTTTGTCAGAGGGGTTTCTGATATATGTGCCCCATGCTGGTAGAGCCAGACTCATCTGGTATTACCAACTAGACTTCAGTTCCCTTTTCTGTAGGAACAACCTTCTCTGGGCTGCTTTCTGTTGCTAGGTTGTAGGTCTGAAAGTCGGGTGAGGGGTCAGATGTCTTGGAATCATGTTGCTCCTCTAGTCTTGGGGTCCCTAGCAGTGTGTCTTCCTCTTTCCCCACTTTTCAGAATTCTCCTTCTGATTCCTCTTGCATTATTTTATAATTATACTTACCCAGAGTTTATAATTGTACTTTTCAAGAAGAAGCAAGGAGAAATAACTCTACACTCTTGTCAAAACCAGAAGTCAAAATACAGTATTTTAAAGAGTTTTATTTGCACAACTTTCCAAAAGCCAAAAGCTCAAGCCTACCCTAGAATTATTTTTTAAATCATGTGTTCTGGACTTGAGTAACTGGCTGTTCCACTGGGCATGGAAGAAGTGGCAGTAACAGACAAGTTAAATAGTTTTCAAGAGAATAACTTAAAGACACTATTTGAACTCCAAAGTGTGATGTTTTCTATGTAGCTTCCATATTGATTCCAGTATGGTTCCTATATTCACTCATTCAACAAAAATTTATTGAGTGCTTACTACATGCCAGTACTGTTTTAAGTCACTGGGGGAAAAAAGTATTAATAATCTCTGCCCTTGTGGAAGTTTACATTCTCTAAAACATGAAACATTTTCCATTTAGAAAACTCAAATCGTAACAAATATTCACCTTATTGTCTATTCATTCATAGGATCAGCTCTCAAATATCAAACTCAACTCATTTCTACTACACAAGGAGTATCACATTCCATTAGGTGTTCCAGTCATTTTTTTCACGTGTGAAATTTAACAGGACTTGTGTAAGGAACCAGCTGAGTAAAATAGCGAATATTTTAGTAAAATTGACATTCATGCTAGATTAAATTTAGAAGGCTCAAATCTGTTAAATGTCAACATGTTTAACCAAGCACACAAATATGATTGCAAATATGTATATGGGCGTTTTTAAATCTCAGTGACTTTTTATAAGTCTTCCTAAAAATAACTGATCGTTGACAGAAGGCTTGCCTTAGGAAGGCTATTTTAACAGAAGCCGACCAATGGAATGCAGAGTGAGAAAGAAGGTGAAGATGATCTTGGGTTATGAAGCTTGAACTTGGAAGATTTGGAAAGTAACGCAACCATAAAGAAAAACATTAAAGTCATGAGTGGAACTAACTACAGAAAGGAGGATGCTTTGGGTAACAAGAGTGAAACTCCGTCTCAAAAAAAAAAAAAAAAAAAAAAAAAAGAAAGGAGGATGCTTACGTTGCAAACAGGCTAAATTTGATACAAATTTGATATAACTTGAATAGCAAAACATCTAAGTTAAAAATGTCCTAACATGAAGATTCTAGAATAGGACTTAGGAAAATAGCATATTTAGAGTCATCTGGGTGTCATCAGCAGAATGGCTGAAGTTGTAGCAAAGGGTGAGACTCTTCAGGGGAAAAAAAAATGGCTTGAAAAGTGAAGGGTAGAAAGAGACCTGAGGACTGAATCTCCAGGTAAGTCAGCTCCAAGTATCTGCTCTTCTAACTTTCACTCTCATCCTCTGACCCTCTAGGTGATCTCATCTGATTATAGAGCTAATTTAGCTAAACAAACATGTTCTCTATGCACACCCTTATAATTTTGATCTGTCCTGATAAAAATAGAAATCAAAATGCAAACAAAATACAGAGCAAATATTTGAAGTAAACCTTGAACCCTAGGTACAAGTAAAGAAATGAAAAACCCTAGGGCTATTCAGAAGAGAATTCTATGGAAGAATTAAATTCCTATCTTTTAGTTTTCATAAAAATTTCCAATCTCTTATTTATAAGAAAAAGGAGATTTTGGGAGCTTTAGGAGTCAAGGGTGGTATACTTGAGGGAGACTTCAGTAAGTGCCGCATGTGGTTGAAAGTAAGACTCAGAATCTATGGTAAATATAAAACCAATTTATATGAGAAATTGGGGAATACAAAGCCAAAACAGCTTTTTGTACATGCTCATATTTCTTGAACAAATATATTTAAAAAGAAATAAATTCACAAACTAGACAAGGATGGTGGAGTTTGGATCTTGATTGTGTAAGATTTTGAACAGCCTGAGTACCTTAAAATGTTCCTAGACAGCAAAAGCCGTTTTTTGTTGTTGTTGTTTACACTGAAGCTTTAAAATTTTAGCAGCAAAGACAAAGAATATGAAAGGGAAAATGACGCAGACAGCTTGACTCATGCAAACTGAAACTAAAGAACATGCGCAAGAATGCTTAATGCCTTTTTAAAAATATGCAAAAGGAGGCTGGGTGTGGTGGCTCACACCTGTAATACCCAGCACTTTGGGAGGCCAAGGTGGGTGGATCAACTTGAGGTCCAGTGTTTGAGACCAGTCTGGCCAACATGGTGAAATCCCGTCTCTACTAATACAAAAATTATTATTAGCTAAGCATGGTGGCACATGCCTGTAATCCCAGCTACTAGGGAGACTGAGGCCGGAAAACCACTTGAATGGAAGTGGGAGGATGCAGTGAGCCGAGATCATGCCTCGGCACTCCAGCCTGGGCAACAGAGTAGGACTCCGTCTCAAAAAAAAAAAAAAAAAAATGCTAAGGGAAAGGCATAACTAGACATCTCGGTGGATATGACGGCTACCAGAAAAGTGCTTGCTAAGAAGTTGATATGATACTTGTACATAGCACATTTGAATGGTAGATGAGTGGAAGAGATTAGTAGACAGAGGTCCAAAGGCCATGTCTTTAAAAATTATATAATCTCAATGCAATCACAGGCTACAAAAAAAATTGCTGAGGCTATATGACCCTCACTGAATTTCAAAGTCCAAAGCTATTAGTAAGTCAGTGTCATAAGTGATGGCCTAAAATAGAACTCCAAGCTGAAGGCCAAATTATGACAAGGTAACCTTCTGTTCACAACATAAGCAACGCAGAAAACTCACTTTAACCTCTTTGTGTATGTGGGCTTAAAATTTGGTCCTTATCGTGTTATCTTGGCTATTTAGAAACTTCTTATTTTCTAAACTCTTAAGTTATCAAAGCAGAAGAGCAACCAAAGTGACTAGTTTGGATGCAGATACAATTGGCTTGAAGAATGCATTGTTTAGTAGTTGCTTGATGTTGAATGAAGGTTGCTTTGTTCTGTTCTGCTATAGCTAAAATTAAACCAGTTTTATTTATCTTTAGTTCATTTCTCTCTCCTCAGAAATCTCCAGCTTAATCCCTCTAGACCTGAACTAGGTTGAGATGGGAGCAAAAGCCAGATGGTAGTTTCTGCTGAGGAATTCTACCCACAACCAATGCACTGAATTGCCTGCACTCACCTCTAACCCCATCCAACTTTACATACCACATGCTAGCAATGCAGCCTTTCAGGGCAACTTAAAAGCCTCTATGCTAAACAACTTTACCTCTTTGGATCATTTCAAGCAACAATCTGCCCTCAAATTTCTAAAAAAAAGTGTGGGGTGGACCCTCACTGTTCACAATTTCAACTACTGGTTTTGTCTCTTCAGAAGGCTCTACTTTTTGAGGAAGAACAAGCTAGCTGAAGGTTGGAGGTACTTTCTTACCTTCCCAGGCACAGGGAAATGCCCATGGTGCAGGTCTGACTGAATGGCCAGAACACCTTGTCCAGGGTCCTCTGTGAAGGTGATGCTGTCATTCCTCTTTCATCTCTGCCACTGAGGATTTTCAGGCCCTGATCCCTCCTGCAATGACTATCCATGTCTTCAAAATAATTTTCCAGTTATGACTCATTTTATTTACATTAATTGATTTGATCATCTTTTAGAATTAGTTTTGGATCCTGAAGACATATTAAAAATATGAGGCAGGGTAATAAATACCTTAGAATTACCTCACAAGCCATTTAAAAGAGCAGAGGTGATGGGAAAAGGAGAATGAAAAATCAGTTTACTGTTAGGTATGGTGAAGACTGAATTACACATAGTTCTCTTGAAAATGAGAAGCTATGTTTTCCAACATCTGAATAAACATACAAGCCTAAATATCATGAAACAGAATTTCCAGTGCAAATTTTATACAGCATTATTACCAAAAACATAAAGCAGACATTCCATAAAAGAGCATTTTCCAAATTAATTATGCATACCTATACATCTGCTAATTAAATGACACTGGTAGATACATCTTCATTAAGATGTGATTTTTTTATGCTTGTTACTGTATATTTTCAATAATGAATTAAGGGCAAGAATCACTGTCTTCCTGTGAATGCATTTCCAAAATTTAAAAATTCCACAAACTACATTCTGTCTTCCAGTTTGTAAGCAATGTCTCTACAGACCTTTCAAGTGTTCACAGTTGGTGCTCGGTAACCACACTTATTTTGTATAACATTGCTCAACAGAGTGTAGGATACTATAACTATAGCATAGTTATTAGTACAGTCGCAGTAAAACCCTAAACCATTTAGAATCTTTCAGCAGTGAAGAGAACCTACATGAAAGCGTGCCAAAATAATTTGATTGCTTACTGAAATTTATGAGACTTGTAATAGGCTCTGTCTTTGAATACCTATGAAAAATGTAGATAGTGATAGTTTCTGTACAGGGCTGCTTTACAGCTTCCCTATATTCATATTTATCTATGAGTTCTGAAAAATTGGTAATCGAATATGTTTTCAATTGCAGTAAAATATACTTAATGTTAAATTTATCACTTAAACTATTTTTAAATGTACAGTTGCAGCAGCATTAAGTACATTCACACTGTTGTGCAATCATCCTCCCCATCACCTCCAGAACTTTCTCATCTTCCCAAACAGAAACTGTGTACCCATAAAGCACTAATTACCCATTCTCCCTCCCTGCAGGGTGGCTTATTTCATTTCGCATAATGTACTTAAGGCTCGTCCGTGTCACAGCATATGTCAGAATTTCCTTCCTGTTGCAGGTGGTACTATTCCACTGCACGCACGTTAACACATTTCATTTATCCAGTCATGGGTGAATGGGATGACACTTGGGCTGCTTCTATCTTTAGGTTACTGTGAACAATGGTGTTATAAACATTGGTGTACAAATATCTGTTCAAGTCTCTGCTTTCAATTCGTTTGGGTCTCTAGCCAGAGGTGGAAATGCTGAATCACAGGGTCATTCTATGTTGAATTTTGTGAAGAACCGCCGTACTGTTTTCCAACAGCAGCTGCACCACTTTTATGTTCCCACAAGGAATGCACAAACTTTCAATTTCTCCATGTCAAAACAGTTGATTTTTAAGAATACATATTTGAATAAAAATCCTGTAGTAAGATCTTTGGACTTGTTTCTTTTCATCTCTGTCACTTGCTTCTATTACAAACCATAGAATTTATGATGCAAGACTTAGTTTGATTAGAAACCCTAATTCCAAGAAACCTACTGAGGATGAGAGACAGAGAAAGTTAAAAGTCCTAAAAGTTAATTCGGAGTGTATGTCACCACAGTAAAACACAATTGGGGGAAGGGGATGTCATATGGCATGGGGTCAGAGGGCAGCTTCCTCCTGGAAATCTTAACCATGATACATTCCTCAGTGTGTAATGGCAAAGTAAACTCAGAAGCTAGGAAGACAAAAACAAGCTTTGATAATAGCAAACTAAAGGAAAGTACATACAAAATGAAGAAGGAACAATGGGTTTTGTCCTTCAGATAGAGGCTGAGGAAAATGTAGATGATGTGCACCAACATTTTCTGTGACTGCTTGATGGAGAGGTAATCAAAAATTGAAGATTATTTTTCCTGACATATTCTTCAGACTGCTGTATAAATTGAATAATGATAATTGGGTTTACATATCATATGCATTTGTTTAGATGAAATAAAGAAAAGTTTAAAGGATTGGAAATTAAGTAAAACATTCAATAGGCTAGAACTAGAATCATTTTAAAATTAGAAATAAAAAACTTTTTAAATTAACATAAAAATATGTTATGCCTGTTATGACACTTCACAAGATATTAATGTAGACACTAAAATTCTAGGTGCTCTTTGTTTATAGCATAATTTTAAAAAAGAATATTCCACATACATATTTACATTTCATATGAAAATATACTCTCCATAAAGCATGACCATAATTTATATTTTATAAAATACAGTAATATAAATTTGAAAACCACGTGGATTTTTTAAATAAAATCCAAATTTCATATTAAAGACAGATTAAAATAATTTAGTTACATTTCACCAGAATTAGTTCAAAACAGAATTTCAGAATTGTTCTCTGAAAATGAAGGAATATTATATGGTCACCTTTCAGAGTTACTTCAAAATTTTTCATATAAGATTTTGATTAGTTTAGCTACTACATGCACGTTGAGACTATTTCCAAGTAGGCGATAACGCTGTTTCACTGTTATCTTCTCAGGAAATCCTGGAAAAGACAAATAACAATTTATAGAAATCATTTGTAATCACAATTTCCAGAGATGAAAGGATGTATCATTTAGTAAGGGTACAGTGCTCATTTCATAAATAAATCACTAAGGTCTCCAGGAAGTTTTATTAACAAAAGAGAATTTAGAGCCAAAAATATTATATAACATGATATTGTCTACACAGTATGATAGTAGCATATCACATTATGTGTTATGTTCCGTGCACACACAGGTACACATATATCCACAGAACTCAGAGAAATCCATGCATTAGTGCACTTTTTAAAAAGCTGTGTCTGCCATTATTTCACAGTTCTTTCTTTGATTTAATAATCATTTTAGGGATATAATTTGCATAGCATAAAAATCACCGATTTAAAGTGTACAATTAGGAGGTTTTTAGCATAGTCACAGACTTTTTCAAACATCTCCACTATCTAATTCCAGAATATTTTTATTATTTCAAAAAAAATTTGGTACCTATTAGCAGTCACTCCCTATTGCCTCCCTGTTCCCAACCATTAATCTACTTTCTGTTTCTATGGGTGTCTACTGGATTACTTTTCACATAAATGGAGCCATAAAATATGTTGTTTTTTGTGTCTTCTTTCACTGAACATGTTTTAAAGATTCATTCATGTCATAGCATGTAGTGATACTTCATTCCTTGCTGTGGGTGAATCATATTCTATTGCATGGTTTACCACATTTTATTTTTCCATTCATTCATTCAGACATTTGGGTTGTTTCTACTTTTTGGCTGTTGAGAATAATGCTGTTATGAACATTCATGTATGTTTTTGTGTAGACATATATTTTCAATTCTCTTGGGTATATACCTAGAGGGAAACTGCTGGATCACACACTAACTCCATGTTTAATGTTTGAGGAAACGTTAGACTGTTTTTCAAAGCAGCTGCACCATTTTACATTCCCACCCAGTACTGTATGAGGGTTCCAATAGCTCCACATCTTCATCAATACTATTATTGATATCCATATTCTGGATACAAGTCCCCCATAGTAGTTTTTATACTCTGCTTCTACAAACTGCCTTTGTCATACTGGACTTTCATTTGCTACATTCCTTTTTTAAAACAAAAAGCCCCATGGATACCTCATATGCTGAAAGAAGACCTTGTGAATATCAGCATAAAAGGCTGTCCATGTAAAAGAGTATGCACTATAATGGTAGTTAAAATGTCAGGATTTCACATTCAGCATACTCTAGCCTAGCAAGGAAATAAAGGAAAAATAACTTAGATAAGAAAATGAAAAAAATAATTAGAAGTATTAAGAATAGCAAAATTTCATATACTCATGAGGACAGGAAGGTAGAATTAGTTACAGCAAAGTTGCTTCATCAGATGCTTGACATTTTATTAACTGCAATAAAACAACAGTAATTACTGCAATTACTGTTGCAATTACATATGATCATAAAGTTTCTATTCTAAAGATAATACTTTAGGCAAGGACATTATTTTCTAAAAGTATTTACTTCAAAGCAACCGGAGGTACAAATGTGCCTAAAAATAGGCTTTTTGACTATCCCAGAGACAATCTTTTACAATATTACAATTATATCAGAAGGAAAGAAACATCTGAAAACAAACAAGTAATATTTGTACAAATTATATCTATGTGTGTATGTGTGTGTGTGCATCTGTGCATATTTCTTTAAATCTAAACTATTAGGTTGGCACAAAAGTAACTGTGGTTTCTGCCACTGAAAGTAATGGCAAATTACTTTTGTACCAACCTAACAACTTACGGAAAAAAACGATAATTTTCTAAGTTAAAAGACAACGTTTTAAAGTTAGATACATTAAAAATAATAAGAATTATCCTTAAAAACAAAGAAACATAGAACGAACAAGGTCAAGGTATCAGCTTATGCCTAGTGAGGGCAGGTTAGTGTTTTTCTTCAAAAGCCCACTATTACCACAGAATGCACACCACCAGCCACAGAACCAGGACAAAGCATTTGGAAGGATCAATGCAAATCCATCATTGCCAGTAGACAAAGAGCTCAAACAATGCCCATTTTTGAACCCAGAGTCAATAATGTTGGAAACACACGAGGGACAGTTGTATCACGGTGCTGCTCAGTGGTGACATCAGGGTAAGCTCAACTCCACAAACATACCACATATTTTAAAAGGAGGTTCAGTAATTTCAAAGGCTGTTTTTCTATGTATTATACATATATAATCAGAGAGCTTTGGAAAATTCTATTTTACCCACTTAAAACGTAAAAATAATGAGAAAAATATTTATGAAATAAAGATTATAAAAGTAAATAAACGGCTCGTCCTAAAAATGAAATGTTCAGGTATAAGAATTTCAAATATATTAAGTTATTTAACTATCACAATAACCCTATGAAGTAGGTCTTATAATTATCCTCATTTTACAGACAAGTAAATTAAAGAAGGGAACAGTTAAGGTGGGCTGGGATTTGAAGTCACTGTCTGACTCTAGGCTCTGTGCTCCTCACTAAGGTTCAGTATCACCAAAGTGACTACTACTCTTTGAAAACAAAAACCACTGGAATAAAGCTGAGGAATTAGTTTTAATTAATAATCTCTTTTCTCTCTTCAATAGTATGTCTGATTACTCATCTGAAAAAAGAAAAAAAAAAAAAAATAGTAGCCAGGAAAGTAGACTAGGAATGAGAATCCTTGAGTCTAATTCTCAGCTCTTTGTTTTGTAATGCTCTCACTCATTTTGTGACATAAGCTAAGACAAGGAAAGTTTGTGTTTTTCTTAAACAGCACTCACTAGGATATTTGGGACAAAATTGAGATCACCAAGAAAGAGGCAGGGAGTAGAAAACAAACCTGGTTGCCACAACTACGCTCAGAGAATCAATTACCAAGAGGGTAGTCAAATTATATTGGCAGTTTGTTCTCTACGTACAAAAGGGTTGTGTTCTAAAACCTCAGCTTAAATCAATTATTTAGAATTTGAAACATGATCTATTAAGCTCATTATTTGAAGAATACTGCCATATTAATATTACAAAAGTACTGGATTTAACAAAGTTTGGCTTTTCTGCATTCGAACTCTCAATCAGTCCTCAACAGCACATTTCCTCCTTCTCTGGCCATGGAAGCACACTAGGGAGGTCAGTCTTTCTCCCAGCCCATCAGCCAGGTACTGGGAGCATTTCCACCCCAGGCCTAAGGAACCCACAGCCTCCTTAGAGCTGTGAGCACTGGCCCTGGCAGTGGGATCAGGGAGATGGGCTGGGGCATCTCTGAGAGGCCAAAGCAGTGTGTTCAATCTCTTGAGGGCACCAATCCCTGGACTTCCTGGACTGCTAATGGAGTTAGGCTTTTGACTTTCTCACTCTACAACTGTATCTTCCCATCTGTTCTTCATCAATTCTGTGTCAATTAATTTTCTGAATCAATTTCATCTCCTGAGTTCCCCTTTCATTCCATTAGGAAAGCTCCTTCCTAGAGACAGCCTCTCCATCTTCTCTTTCTCCACCTACTCCTTGTAGGGAGGGATAAGGGCACATGGCTGACACAGCTGTATCTCTGAGGAGAATAAATATCAATACACTCCCAACCCTTCCAAAATAATCCCTCAACTGCCTTTTAATTTACATATATTTTTAAAAAGGCAATCAAAAGCATACTTTCACAAGCTCTAGTGTGGGGTGACTAGGAAAGGACCTCTGGAAGAAAGAATATAAGCCAGAAAGAGAATGCTATGCACAGACATCTGTGGAAAGAGGTGAGAAATTGCCAGTGTGAACCTTCTAGCCAGGCCAACCTTTGTGGCCCACTAGTAAAGTTAGTGAGAGGTAGAATGAGTCGGGAGAGAACGGAATGAGGCAGTTGTAAGGGGACAGAGGGCAGGAAGATGCCAAAAATGGCATGATCAGGAAAGGAAGGAGGTTTATTGCACCCATTTCTTTAGGCAACTCCTAGACACATAAGTCCCTAAAGATTTTTAGGAGCTTTAATACATGAAAGTTGAAGTCTACATGTATCCCACATACCGAACTCTGGAGGAAATCCAAGGAGATTTGCTATTTCTTTAGGAGTAAAATATCGCAGTTTAAGCATTAACAGCTTTGTTATCTTTTCTTCCTGAGACAAATTGGCAAGGGATTTGTAGATATTCTCAATCTGTAAGAAAGCATCCAAGATAACTAAAAAAGTAACATGTAACTAGATGTAAGATCTCCTGTTGTGAGACAGTTTAAACTCGATGGACATACAGTCTGCTGTAACACACAGTGGCAAAGTGCACAGGGCAAAATGGCTCTGTGCAATAGACTATATATTGGCTCAGTAATGGCAACATAAACTTTAAAAAGAAAAAGGTTAACATTCAAAAGATCAGGATATTTTTCAGGGTATCTGTCATTTTTAAGCCCTTAAAATAAAATCATAAGAGTATAAATAATAAATGACAATATAAAAGAAATATAGTGAAAAATGCAAAAGAAGCTTGACAAAACAACCAAGTAGATTTTATAATAAAAACAGGAGAATCATTCGAACTTTTATTTTTTATACTCAATTTCATCAAGATACTTCCTTAAAATGATTATATTAAGCAAATATAATTTCTCAAATCCAGACATTCATTTGCCTATAACAGAATTTTTACCATGGGTAAATTTTATTAGTAGTTAAAAGTTTGAATTAGTATAAAAGTAGATAATGTAATCTCACTTTAAAATTATTCAAAAAAATATAAAACTTGCTACATGTTAGGCCTGTATTCAACCACGACACCATGAAGAGTTAACAACAGAAGTATTCATAAAGCACATTGCTAAGATTTTCTTTTCCTTAAAAGGAAGTTTTATAGTGTGTGCTTCAAAAGGGGGCTCCAATATTAAGATGTTTATATAACATTTTAGGAACATTAACTATTGTAGGCTGAATTTCAACTGACTATTTATGGAATAAAAGAAAAGCAGAAGATAAAAATAAGAAAAAGAAAAACAAAACATTCCTTGTTCATATACTCATGTACAGCAACAAGGAAAATATTTATTCAATAGTAATCAAGTATTATATATTTGAATGAATAAAATATATATTCATGGCCAGTTGGATGCATATAATTATTTTAATGTTCTCAAAGTAAGTATTAAACAATTTTAGTTAAAAGTTTTAAAGTGTTTTAGTTTTAAAATATGCATAGTACCTGCACATCCTCTGCAGTCTGTAACACAGACCCTGTCCCTTCTATGTAGCTTCCATATCTGAAAAATCAACACAACTATTATGCGGCACCTGACGTATGGGTTAACGCTAAATTTCTTAAATATTTATTGAATGAATTAATCATTCTACATAGCTGCATCCTTCTGAAATATCTTGAATAATATCATATAAATATCTTTTGTAGGTAAAATATTACTAGGTAAAATACATAAGACAGTTCCATTTAAATGTCTCAGAAATGGGCCAGGCACAGTGGCTCATGCATGTAATCCCAGCACTTTGGAAGGCTGAGGCAGGTGGATCATCTGAGGTCAGGAGTTCAAGACCAACCTGGGCAACATAGTGAAATCTCATCTCTATTAAAAATATTAAAAAATTAGCCAGGCGTGGTGGTGCACACCCGTAATCACAGCTACTCTGGAGGCTGAGGCAGGAGAATCTCTTGAAGCTTGGAGGTGGAGATTGCAGTGAGCCAAGATCATGCCACTACACTCCAGCTTGGGCAACAGAGCAAGACTCTGTCTCAAAAAATGATAATAATAATAAATAAATGTCTCAGAAATGAAATATGGTACAGTTGTTTGAGTTGAATAAACACCACTGAATTTTGCACTGTAAATTGTCATTTCTTTGTATTAATTGTCCTGTCTTGAATGTTCATCCCTGGAAAGGATGCAATTTATATTCAAATATAATTCAATATTGCCCCCCCACCACATTAACCCAAATATTGTATAGATGAAAAGAAATTGCGCCATTTTTATAATATCTGAACCATGATTTCCTCTCAAGAACCCATCGCCCTGCTTTCTAACACCATGACAATCACAGTGCCACAGTATGATTTTATGATCATTTGCATACAACAATCAGATCATTACATAAAAAATTGCATAGAAAGTATAAAATACTTCAGAAATGCAAGGCATTAGCAGTATTTCTTTCTCTAAGATTATTGCCAAGCTGGCTGTTCAACATATTAGCATTATTTCTTTTTCACAAAGAGAATAGTTTAAAATGGGAATTAGAGGGAAAAAGTCACGCCGGAAAAGAAATAATTTTTTCAAACTTTTTTTCTCATATATTACACATATAAATATGTGTATATATACACATAGTATCTATACCAAAATAAATTTTACAATCAGGCTTTTTTTATACCATCTTTATAATTACAAAAGAATTTCAAGGTTGTTTTTTATTACAAAATTGCCAAGTCTTATTTTATGAGAGTCCTAAACAGAAGCTATTGAACTTGGTAATTGACAATAGCCCAGTGAAGTCTTTCAAGGTAATGGAAAGCAATAAACCCTTTCCCCTGAAGTACAAGGGCAGAGTATAATAAAGTCAGAATGAGTCTGGTACGGTTATATTGGGGTACAGTGTATCATGCAAGATATTAATGGCTAGATAGAAGGTAAGAACAGAAAGCCTGAATTGTCAAATTATACAACTACCTATCAACTGAGGTTGAGTAGCATTCAGAAAGCAGTGACAGGCCAGGTGCGGTGCCTCACGCCTGCAATTCCAAGACTTTAGGAGGCTGAGGCAGGTGGATCCCTGAGGTCAGAAGTTCAAGACCAGCCTGGCCAAAATGGAGAAACCCCATCTCTACTAAAAATTCAAAATTAGCCAGGCATGGTGGCGCATGCCTGTAATTCCAGCTACGTGGGAGGCTGATGCAGGAGAATCACTTAAACCCAGGAGACGGAGGCAGTAGTGAGTGGAGATCGCACCACTGCACTCCAGCCTGCAGAAGAATGAAACTCCATCTCAAAAAAAAAAAAAAAAAAAAAAAGACAGAAAGAAAGAAAGAAAGAAAAGATACAGATCTTTGGCAAAATTTTTCTTTCTTTCTTTCTTTTTTTTTTTTTTTTGGTTGAGAAAGAGTCTCACTCTGTCGCCCAGGCTGGAGTGCAGTGGTGTGATCTTGGCTTACTGTACCCTCTGCCTCCCGGATTCAGGCAATTCTCCTGCCTCAGCCTCCTGAGTAGCTGGGATTACGGGTGCCCACCACCACACCTGGCTAATTTTTGTAGTGTTAGTAGAGACAGGTTTCACCATGTTGGCCAGGATTATCTCAAATTCCTGACCTCAGGTGATCTACCTGCCTTGGCCTCCCAAAGTGTTGGGATTACAGGCATGAGCCACCATGCCAGGCTAAAATTTTTCTTCAAAAGGTATAATTTTCCCCTTTCTAGGTTTAAAAAAAGTAGTGAGAAATGTATTAAACATTCAAGAAATAACCCAAAGAAAGCCCTCTAAATTTTCATGAATAGATGACCAGTAAAGTAAATTATAATATACCTGTACCATGAAAACAGAAAAATGTGATAATATTCCATTTATATTGCACAGTGAAAAAATGGGTTTATATATAGTATGATGCCATTTACTTACAAAGGGGGATAAAATATACATGGATATTCCAACACAGTTTCAAACATAATACCTCTGGAAACTTATATAGTAAATTGATCTCACTGGTCACATGTGGGGAGAAAAACTGAATGGCTAAGAGATAGAAGTGGAAGAGTCTTATAATCTTAGTATCTTTTGTACTTATGTAAAAACCTGAATAAAATTTAAACTTAAAAGTTACCCTAATATTCTCTAGATGACTCAATATTACTTCTTTAGATTAAAATTTAATTGCTTATTACACATTGATCATAAGAGTGAACACAATTCTTTGAGGTATGATGTGCCATAAATAGAAAAGTGCTAAAAGATTAGCAATTAATCGTCGACAGAAACCATGTTTCCACTATGGGTATTCAAGCTCCTATGAAGGTCACCAAACAAATGACATTGTCTTTTATGAGCAATTTTGTGGGTGGTGCACATAATGTTCTGCCAAACGGAATTTTTACTTGTGTTCTATTGGAACATGAAGCAGGCAGTTAAGGGAAAAAACATCATTCTAACAAGAACATTTTATAAAATGCTCCTTGTTTTTAGAAAACTTAAAGAAACAATTGCTTTTAAAAACCCTGGTTATTTTGGATACGAGATGAACAGATCTTTAAAACCTACCCTTTGGTAAAGCACATGGATCTTCTACAAGTGGGCTGAACAATGTCTAATAGTAGAGCATATCGCTGCAATGACTTTGGTGGTAAAAGATACTGGTTCATGTCAATGTCATCTTCAAGAAAATCTTTTAGCATCTGCACAGAGAGATCACTATCTTGTTGATTTTTCCTGTGAATTTCTTCTGCAGTTTCAAGCTTAAAAAGAATGGCATCTTTTCCAGAACACTGTATGCTGCTATCAAAGGTAATATTTGGTTCAGTGTTCTTTCCTTGAATTTTATGTTCAACATCCATTGCATATTTTTGTGGATGTGCAGATTCAATTTTGGGGAACTCCATCAGTACCTGGCATTACATAAAAATATGCACATTGTCAAAACTTCACTAAAAATAAAAGAAATTAATAATGTCCAGTCAACATTATGAAAAAACCTCATTAGTCTTTATGGGATTGCCATTAAAAGATAGAAATTATGGTTTACCTGTATTTGAACAAATTCTTGTTAAGTTATTAATCATACAGCTACACTGTCATCAAGCTACAGATGATTTATTTCATGGGCTACTATTTATTAATAAAAACGTTCAATAAAGTAATAGAAAGCACACTGAATACAGATACAACATCATATTTGTATCATATTTGGAAAAGAAGTTTTGAAAGCAACACTAACATTTCCAGAAAACGTGTTTTGGATCGAGTTTTGCCATACTCCCTCATTAAAAAGGAAAAACTGAAACATACCTATGATCTAAAGGAAAACTAGCAATTAAAAAAAGTAAAGCGCTTTTCACTGTGAAAGGTTATTTCTACTCATGAGTCCCATGGGGAAAACTTGTTTCTGCAGAACACATAACTGTGTATAAAGCTCTATTTTGTAAAAGAAAAACCATTCCAGGAATTTTTAATGATGAAGTCTTTAAAGTCAATGTATAAAGTTAATACTAACTTAACACAATGTATAAGGTATATTAACTTTACATTGGAATTCCCTACTATGGAAAGGGAACAACATTAGTATTATATTATAAGGGGACTGAGGTGGCACTACAGATCCCCTATTAATGGACGTCACTTTTGTGTCCTTACCTACATCGGTTAAGGAGAATTTCACTGAAATGCTGAAACTCAGTTATTCATCCCCATTTTCTGGCCTAAGCATGTGAAACTGCTCACAGAGAGATTCTATTTGTAGCAATTGACTATTTTATTCTAGCTTTTGCTAATCATTACTATATTTTAATCAATTAAACTAAATAGCACTGGCTTTAAAGAAAATGCAACCAAAGTGTTACAATACTCATAAGCCACTTTTAAGATAAAATATTAAATTTTATCAAAAGTATCCAATGGCTTCTATGGGAAGGATAAAATGATAAATGCAAAACAGTCAACAGTCAGAGGGAAATTATGGGGGAAGGAGGAAGATAACAATACTAATGGTAAGTTTTTTAACTTATTTGTTTTCTAATGAGGAAAAGAAAAATGGGGTTTTTTCATTTTGTTTTGTTTAAACCAATAAAAGCAGCAGGAGAGAAACAGCCTTGGAGATGGATCTAGAGCATGGTCTATACTTCCGATTCTATAGGACACATAGACACCTACATAAAGTAGTTCTTGAAAATAAATTAGCAGACTAATTATATTTACAATAAATAAACCATAATACTTATAATAAAATGCCAATAATAATACCTGACCAGGGGCTTGAAAAGGTAATGGCTCTGACTGAAGCTTTGCAATTAGAAAATATCGTAGCCTTGAATTTGGAATGCCAAGCTGTAAGCAAAGCAAAGCAGTTAGTTACTCTAGAAAATTAAAGAGATCTGTACTAACTTTAGTATCAAGTCAAAAAAAAAAAAAAAAAAAAAAAAAACTCATACAGGTCTACATTTAGCTTCTACCAGAGAAAAATCTGCTATGGATGTGTAGAAGACCCCACTGTAGCAAATTCTAAACCTGTTAAGCTGATACTTTGTACTTTTATTTGAATGAAGTAAAGACTGAAGCTGACAAATAAATCTACAAGTCACTTCTATTTTATATTTTCCGGTAAGAAGTAGTATAGATATTTTTACATTCATTATTGATAACATAGTAATAATTTAAAAATTCAAATATAGCTATTCTTGGCTATGTATTACCTTATTTTGTTAAAAAAAAAAAAAAAAAAAAAAAAGGATGATTCACTATGTTTTACAAGCTAAAAGGCAATAGATACGAAATAAATTTAAAGAGGGCCAGGC